TGGAAGGAAAAAAAGCACAATTCAAAGGATGAAACGACAGACATCGGGCAGAAAAGTTAAGGAAAACATCTTTAGCGCCCTTTAATATCAAGTAACTTTCAGTCAACTATCGTTCTGTCTCGACAGTCTCCACTGACTGGATCTCCACCTCTTCTACTACATGTATATCACCGGAAGGATGATCCCTCTCTTGCTTGTCCTGATCGTGGGTTTCTGGGTGTTCCTCCACTACATGCTCTTCAATTACATGCTCCTCCACGGCTCCTGATGTTCCTGTTTCTTGCTGTTGTTCCTCTTCGATAACCACACTTTCTTCGACAATTTCCACATTTTCTATGGTTGCTCCTTCGGGTAATAGACGCTCATCGACAATTTCTGCAGGAACTAGACCCTCTTCTGTCACAACCATTGCTTCCATAGGTTCGCCTTCGACCATGAGTGGATGGTGGTCGGCAATGATTTCAATTCCAAAGTCCTGAATGAAACAAATCAAAAAGCAAATTTTCGGAACGAATAAGACGCTCCAAATAACTACTTCAGTATCATAAACAAGTCCAATAATCACAATTAGGAAGATCTATTGCTTAAGATGATGTGTGTAGCCTCCAAAGAAGATCGATCTCTTTTCACAGTACTTTGATTATGCAAATTCGTGTGCTTTCTGTTGCTATAGGTGTCCTTGTAACATTGAAGTATATGAATGCATAAAGAGCTAAAAACAATGTGAACCAAACTTGACCCTGACCATTACTTTTGAACTAAATAATTTTACAAACTTCCTCAACAAAATTTCCAGATGTTTTTTCGCCTTAACGAAGGTCGCTTACCGATTTTATATTTTGCAGCAATCGAGCCTCATTTTTTTCCAACAACATTCTCCACAGAGCATCAAAAACGGCGTCATCGTCGTTTATGCCAAATGCTTCTCTGGCACATTTCCAAACAGTGTCTTCACGTAATGTATGACCACCAGGTAGGGGAGGAAATTGTCGCATTCCCTGCAAATGAAAAGGGTTTTTTT